TTTTAAATGGCAAAGATTTTCAGTATTTAAATATAGAGTTTTTTAAGTTTTAGGGCTTAAAGAGTGGATTTTTTTTGTTCTGTGGTTTCTGTGAGTGTAAGTTGCAGCAGGCTTAAAAGTTTACTACTTCTTCCAAGCATAAGATGCTTCCCTTAATTAAAGCTAATGACCTTGCATTGTGCTGAATGCCATTGATCCTGCATTTCATTATTTTGATGCACCAGAGCTTAGCCAGGCTATGTCAGAGTATACATTCAGTGTTACAAGTTCCCTCCCTCAAATGTAAGTAACTTGGTACCCAGCAGAATATTTAAGTGAAATTAGCTGTAAGATGATAGTATTTAAAATTCATTCTGAAATTCTGAGTAAATTCTTTATCAGATGGCCTTTTTAAAAGGAAGTGAAAGCATGTGAAGTTCCTCTGCCCATAGGAAAGGTACCGAATGGCACGTACGATGAAACTCCCAACTGCTGCTGCACTGTCGGTACTCCTCTGGGTCGGGGAGAGAACAGCCTCTTCACATCTGGAAACTGCCAGTTCTGCATGCAAATATTAGGATGTAGTTTCTTTTTTTCTGCAGGTATGAACATTTGCTTGCTAAATGCTGGGTATTGTTCAGAGATAAAACCGATACCCTGCATTCAGTGGCTCTCTACCCTGTCACTATTCAGGCTGATCCAGGAGTGAGATCTCAGGATGTTCCCTTCACTTAACTCAAGAGGCTCTGCCTGTGCTAAAATGTGCTGTACCGGTACTAAAGCTGGCAGTTAGCACTTTGGGTGAACAATGAATGAGGCCATTTATAACCAGTTACGCTGACGTGAATCTTTCCCAACAAATTTGCATCATTAAAACACCTTTGGAAAAATGTGTCATGCGTATAATTAAATACCTGTTTTGCTAACTCTTAATTTAATTAATGCAAAGTAAAGATGGCAGCACAGATTAATTTAGTTGGAAATGGCTTTTCTGTCAGTGGGTCAAAGGGAGGTTTTCTGGAAGCATTGTACCAGATGCCCTCAGAAATGTGCAGGTGAACTCCAAGACTGATTGACGCAGTTTTTTGACAGCGATGGCCATGACATCCTCGTAGCAGTACATACGCCACATACCAGCTCTCTTTTTTTCTCCTTGTGAGACCAAAGAGGGAAGCCAGCTAAAAGGCAATTTCTTTGGGAGGACAGTGTAGCTACTTTTCAGCTCTACCCTGAGAGCTATTTGGTAGCAACCACGGTAAATCCAGGTTCAGACAGATGAATGAAAAGAAATTCATGTAACAGAAGATCCTTCTATGTCTCCCCTTGGTTTTTCCTTCTGTACCTTTATCTCTTTCACTCAGTTGGTGCCCATGTTTTTTGCCCCTTAGATACGACTTTACTGTAACTGCTCATCCACTTTAAATATTCATTCCTCTTAACTTTCTTTAAAGAATTCCTTGTAGATGACCTTCTTTTGGTTTGACCTCTTTCCTAACCTTGTGTATTTTTTTTTCCCTCTGCCTTTTTGATCTGTTTCTCCCTGCCGCTTAATCTCTTTCTCTTTCCCTTTCCATCTTGCTTGGGATAAAACTGGAGCACAGGCTGTGTTCGCTGTGCAAGTGCAGGTGAGTTGTCAGCCCAACATTGTAGGAAGCAGGGAATCTGTTGTTGCTTCCTGCAGACCCATCTGAACACCAGAAGAATTAAAAAAAACCCCACCACCTTTCAATCTTCCAAAAGTGCTAGCTATTGCTTTAACAGTTCTTATTTCCTCTTAAGTAAAATTAAATGCATGGTTGAATGGAGAAAGCTGCTGTGTACTTACAACACTGAGTGTGATTAGTCGTGTCACCTCTCTGCAGTTTCAGGATTGGCTTTTTCTGTCTGATATTTCCTTCAAGAGGAAGGAAATTTATCAGGCAGGAATCTTTGGTATCTGAGACTGAGTAAAGGACTGATGCAGATAGGAGTGGGCTCTGGGTGACGAGTGGGAGTACCTGGGTCTCCTACAGCAAGATGGGCTGCTCTGGGCTGGTGGTGCTCCGGGAGGGGAGGACGTGGCTCAGGCAGGCGCTGTGGGACTGGTGCTGTGTGCTCACCAGAGGCTGATTTGAGTGGTGACTCAGACTGGTGTGGGGTGGCACTGGGAGGGTGCAGGATCCTGCAGGAAGGACTGGGGAGAATTTGTGGCTTGGAGCTCCCTGTGGCACTGCTCCACCGAGGCTTTGTGGGTGACTTTCCTCCATATCCCATCAGATGAGATGAATGTGAATATGAAGCTAGTTTTGTCTGTCTTTGGTAGCCTGAACGCTCTTGGCTTCATATCCAACAGTGACCTTTAGCATCATCCAGCTTTTGCAATTGGAGCCAGTGCTTTTAACAGTGCCTTTTGTGTTCACTTACTGAAAAACGGGGTCTGTTTCAGAGGAAATTTGTTTACACCTGCCACAGTTGTCATCTTTGCTCTTCCTTTGCCCCTTTCACTGGAGCTGCGGTAGTTGAAACTGCAGAATGTCCTTTCATTCCCCAGCATCCTCAGCGTGGGACGTGACTGCAATAGAGCTGCTGGGGAGAGGATGCAGGGTGTGAGACCCACTTAGAAATGTTAGCCAGATGTGGACAGCTTGAGGAGGAGATGATACAGTTTGGCTTTGGAAAGACTCAAGTGCAGCGGGTTATTATTTCTACTTCTCCTTTTTTAGCTGTTAATTTTAGGGTTTAAAGAACAGCCCTTGGAGTACCTCCCTGCACATACAGATGCACTAAAGCAACTCAGCAACTACAGGAGTCTCCTCTCCGTTACGGTTAGCAGGGGGTCGATAGCACTCGCTGCAGGGTTTGCCAGGCTCGTGCTTTCAGCCCTTCTGCGGGGGTAAAAGGTGGTCGCCTTGTTGAGCTTGAGGGATTGGGCGTTTTCATGCCACTAAAACTGCGAGTGGCTTTTTGGGGGTGACCCATGCAGTGCGTGAGCTGGTGGGTTCATGCCGCAGCAGAGGAATGCAGGGAAGCCAGGGCGAGGGGAGGTGCTAGGACAGGATTTGTAAAGCTGCTGTTGCAAGTGTTGTGCTCAGCCTGCTCTCTGGTGGTAGCTGCTGTAGCAGAGATGACCTTTGATAAAACGTGAAGCATTTGATTTGGATAGTTGTGGTTCCTCAGCGTCATACAGCTACAGTTCATAGCAGAGTTGTCAACTCAGCTGCTCTTGCTTTTGTTCCCCTACCCCGGTGCAAAATTCACAGGTTAAAAATCAAATCACAGCAGTTTCAGGGCAAGAACTGCCAACAAAGCCTCCTTCCCATCAGCTCTCCCCAGTGCAATTTCTCCATTGTATGATAAGGGCTGAGCTTTATTGCTCTTTCCTTTCAGACTGCAAAGACTAGTAGGCAAGCAGACAGAAGAGGTACCTGCTGGCACAAAACGTGGAAGAAATGAACACCTTTGGGATCTTCAGTCAAATCTGGCTGAAAACAACCAGTAGGTTCCAAAACTCTTGCCAAGATTGAGGTAGAGAGGCAGTCAAAGACCACTTGGTCGTGATCTTTTACTGCCTCAGGTGGGCTAGAGCCCACAGCATCCAGGGCAGGCAGGAGAGCTCTGGTGGAACCAGAGCATCGCTGCTGTGCTCTGGTCTGTGCTGATGAACATGGGGATGCTCTTTATTTAGATCAGCTGGTGGCAACACGCAAACTGTTTAGATTTTTTGTTGTTGTGAGGAAGGAAGTGCTTGGTAAGTTGTTTGAAGGAGGCAAGCCAGTCATGCTTGTGGAGAGCCTGGGAGAGAAGGTCATGTTGAGTGCTTCTGCTTTTGCCTTGAAAATAACTGAGAGATGTTTGCTGTCACAAGAGTGTGGGTTTTGGTGATTTTAGCTGGAAAAAAAGGAAGATGGGAGTAGTTTTGGAGGAGGTAGCTGGGGCCATGTCTTGTCTTTGCTGACATCCCTACAAGTAAAAGGTCAGCCCCATTCATGTTTCCTAGATAAACTGTCAGTGTGTTGGGTATGTCTTCCAGCAGTATTTGGTTTCTGTATTTCTCATCAGGATTTAACAATACTTGAGGGATGTGACAGTCGTACATGTGGTTTCTTTGTGCTGGAGACAGTGTCAGGACTGAACTGCTTGTAGGACATAGCGTGCAGGTGTGACCATTTGCTGTTGAGGATGGAACTAGCTGGTGGGGTATGGAACCTAATGGGGCAGCTTTGAGACTTCAGAGCAAGCAGGCACCCTCTGTTTTAATCCAGCGTCCATCTATTTGACAGTGGAGGTGGAATATAGTTTTAGCATTTTTCTGTTTTTTAAAAATATTAAAATACTTTTCCAAACTGTATTTTTCTATAATTCTATATCTGTATATCTTGTGGCTAGCAAAGTATTCATTTTGCCCAGGAACATGACGTATGCCGTGTCCGAATTCCAGCATTTATGACTCATGTTTAAAGGCAATTTAAGCAGATTTGGGGTTCTTTTTCTCCATGTGAATTGCTGTGGTCTAGTCAAAACCAACTTTTAGTAGCAGCAACCATATGGAAGTATTGTCTTCCCACAATTAGGGGTTAAGAGTTGACAGCAAACGAGCCAGGGATTATAATTTAAAAGCAGGGAAATTCTTTGTGCATGTTAAAAACTAAGGAATAAAAACTCATGGTGTAATGCACCTGTCAGTATTAAATACAAATAAGAGATACTGTATCTTGCAGTGAAAGACATTTGGATTGTGTGTATTTCGCCGAGCATGGGAGCAATTCCTTCTGTTCCATAGAAGCTGAGGTTTTTGTTCAGTTGATACTGATGCTCTTTTAGAAAGCTTTTACCTCTCTGCTTCCTGAGGTCTGACATGGAAGAGAAAAGCTTCAATAGGCACCAGCTGCTCAATGGGCCCTGTCTTTTCAGAGCATTGCTCGCTTTTCTCCATTCCCAATTAAAACGTGTGTTAAACTTAGCTTTTGTTTGAAGCAGCCAGAGCTGTGATATTTAATGTAAAAGGAATGTGCTCCTCACCTTTTCTCTGTCTTTTGTTGCAGGGTCAGCATTCTTCAGGGGAGGACATGGAGATCTCTGACGATGAGACCAATCCTGCACCCATCACCAGTGCAGAATGTGCCAAAACCATTGTGGTGAACTCCTCTGTCAGCAACACGGCCGTGATGGCCCCGTCGATCCCCCCCCTGCCACCACCGGGATTCCCTCCTCTTCCTCCTCCGCCACCTCCACAGCCAGGCTTCCCGATGCCTCCACCTCTACCTCCACCACCCCCACCCACTCACCCTGCTGTCACTGTCCCCCCGCCTCCACTCCCTGCCCCCCCTGGGGTCCCTCCGCCTCATATCTTGCCTCCGCTTCCTCCGTTCCATCCTGGCATGTTCCCTGTCATGCAAGTGGATATGATAAGTGTCTTGGGCAACCAGTGGGGTGGCATGCCAATGTCCTTCCAGATGCAAACTCAGATGCTGAGCCGCATGATGCAGGCACAAAACACATACCAGTATCCGCCTTTCATGACGGGTCGGATGCAGTTTGTGAATCTTCCGCCATACCGCCCTTTCTCCATGGGAGCAGCTCTTGGTCGTGGACAGCAGTGGCCACCACTGCCCAAGTTTGACCCCTCAGTTCCACCGCCGGGTTATGAGCCGAAGAAGGAAGATCCCCACAAAGCCACTGTGGATGGAGTCCTCCTGGTCATAGTGAAGGAGTTAAAGGCTATCATGAAAAGGGACCTGAACCGGAAGATGGTTGAAGTGGTGGCGTTTCGGGCATTTGATGACTGGTGGGACAAGAAGGAACGTCTGGCAAAGGTAGGCTTTCACATACTCTGTGCTGGATCCCTGGGAGAACTGTTCATAGTGCTTGTGTCCAGGGCGTTGGTAAGCAGGGATCTGGAACTGACTTTAAAAAAAACCAAAAACCCACAACCCTAAAATTGGATGGTAACTAAAACAGAAGCAAAAAATAAAGCCACGGAATAGCTTTGCTGTGAGAAACCACTTTGCTTGACATTAAATGGGGGGCATGCATGTCCCTGTCCCTCACCTGCCTCCGTGCCTCCCCATGGGGCTGGTCTTTGTGCTGACCCAGGCAACAAGAGTATGTGCTGGGAACTGCAGACCTTGGCCTGCAAATATCTGGAAGGTTCTCAGTCCCTACAGTCACCTGCCTTGGGACAAGTTAACACCTGGGTCTTAAACCTGGCTTATTTCCATGGTGTCACTCCATATATGCAGGCATTTTATGCAGCTTTGCTGTCAGAACAAAACACAGGCTGGGAATTCTAGTCCTTCCCAGGCATTGATGGAGTTATGCTGTGCAGAGTTATCTCTGAACATGTGTGGAGCAATAACTGCTCGCCTGGGAGTGAACTGCTGTGCTCTCACACCGTCCTGCTAATTTGGATGTGGGCCTGAGTATGAAGTGGTTAGTTCTCAGTGACATCCCTCTGCTTTGGGGTGGATTTACTCCTCCTCATTCCCTCCAGCTTTGGGGCATCTCAGGGCAGCCCTTTCTCTGCGAGGGACTAAGTGCAGCTCATGCTTTGTGAGGGTCTTGGAGAGCATATTTGTCTTTGGTGGTGTGTTGCTTGAGCCAGCCTGCTTGGCGGGATATGCTGGCCGTTCTGGGACATGGTACAGGAGGGATCTGCAAACGAGCTGTTTTTCTGACTGTGTTTCAGAGAGCTCTGATGTCCTTGTGCAGGTGTTTGAGGGAGGGCATTGCTGCAGCCACTGCTGCCCCAGGGCAGGGTCACGGGCTAGGTGCCCTCCTGCGTGTCACCGCAGCCCCGTTGTGCGTGTTTGCAGACTTTCCCTGCCCAGGAGGGCCTTGCGCACTCCTGTTAAAGCTGAATTCCACCAAGGAGTGGTTGTAGGACAAGGCTAGCAGCTCCTAGAGAATGTCCTCTCCACTGCGCTTCTTTCAGGAAGGCCTTCAAGAGTGGTGATGGGACTGCTCTTACACTTGAAAAGCCCAGGGCTATTCCCTCTTCCTCATCTCCTTTCCCTTTTCTCTCTCAGTACAGCATTCCCAGGGTGTGAAATTTGAAAAGTTTAGCTGATTTTTTTTTTTTTTTTTTTTTTTTTTTTTTTTTTGGTGGTCTGGAACACTGCTGGCTGCCTCCAGGAAGGGGTTTGTAGGAGGAAATGACCTCAAGATCAGGAGACAAATGTGCAAGGACTTCCTGTGTCTAAGAGGAAGCTGAACTTTAGCTCCAAAAAACTGAAGTCAGATGCAAGAAGAGTGTTTGAAACCACCAAGCTGCTATTTTGTGTTCCCCACTTTGTGTGATATCTATGGGTATTTCCAGTTCTCTGCACTCCTCCTGCCTTCCCAGTGCATGTACCCAGCAGCAATTAACTCAAAAGCTGAACACTGGCCAAATACATGAGGAGTTCCAGGGATTAGTTAAGAAAACAGCTTTGCATGAATCGTCTGATCCTTTCTCAGCCAATTTAAAGTGTACCTCGGCCAGCCAACAGCTCTGTGATCTAATATGTGGTGAATTTGTCACTACCAAAAAAAAAGCTAACACTACAGGAAGATTCATGCAAGGCTCAAAATTACTGTTGCAGTGAATTATTGTAAAAAAAGTCCAACAAACCAAACCACAACCTGCAGATGCATCTTCTGTTTCAGATGCCAGTTTTCAGAGCAGTATCTTCACTACCTACTTTTGTAAGCCAGTTGCATCCTAACTCTAGTGTCTGGAAGAGCTCCTTGGCTTTCCAGAGAGGTTGGTAATGCTGCTGCTTAACAGCTGTTTTATGACAGTGTAATTTGCTCTGGCTTAGAGCTGGCTGGCATGACATGCAGCAAGAAACTTGGTCCCTCTCCTCCTGACTAACGCTCAGAGGTTCTGCCTCCTACCAGCGAGCGTGTGCTGACAATTTTGGAGGAGGCCCCTGATTTTCCAGGGCAGTGAGGGAAACAGATCCAGCAAATAGTTGCAAAAGCAGCAACTGAAGTACCCAAGAAATTATTTTAAACCAGACATCTGCAGTGAAGAAGCAGAAGCAAGTCGAGGCAGATCTTCAGCGGCTGCTCGGGCTCTTTTATATCCTGAGCTATGGCTGGATTTAGCATGTTCCTCCCTCACCTGGAATTTGTAACCCACTTTGGGAGAGGAAGCTGACTGTACCACAGCACCTTGCCACAGTCCTTCCCACAGATTATGTTGGATGTGAGCAGACTAATTGAAAATAAGAAATTGCTGCATGGAAAACCGCTTGTGCTTTCTGTCCAGGAACAGAAATGCCAGAGCCATTGCTGCTTCAGGGTACTGCTTGGAGAAGCCTCTGCTAGGCCGTGTGTTACTGTTGCACGCAGAAAAATCCCACAGATCTCAGAGCCTCCTTTCTGCTAGGACTGGGCAGCCCCTGACACTGGTGTGGGACAGGATTCCTTCTCAGTCATAAGCTGCCTGCTTTTGCTAAAGGAAAACAAAATATGAGTATTTAGCTTAAACTGTACCTTCCTATTGCTGGTGTCTTTATGCGCATGAGGATGAGCCGACTGGGCTCCTTGGTGGCAACTGGAGGTCGGTTCCCCGTGCTTTGCCATGACACTGATTTTCTGGAATAGACCAGGACCTGCAGGCACTGTTTGAGCTGAAATGACCCTCCAGAACAGGCCCTGCATCCCCATTTCCTCCCTCCTAATGGTTTTAATTGGAGCTCCTCATACTTTTCCTTACTGATTGACAGTAGTGAAAGAAATTATATTATTTTCAGAGGTTTGGAAGTATAAATAAGAACAACATATGTGCTTGTTTACCTCTTTTTTTTCTTTAGAAATGAATGAGGCACATTTGTAGGGAGAGAGAATTAAATGAATGAGGCACATTTGTAGGGAGAGAGAATATCTTTTAATATCTCCTATCCTTGGACCATCTAGCTGCAGCAGCCTTCCTGTTGTATCACTGGGGAGATCAAAGCTCATCTTGGAAGCGCATGAGCTCCACCATATGCCAGTTCTTACAGTAGGTGTGTCCCTCTTTGACTGGAGGTTTTGTGGGTCCGCTGTCTTCCTCACCTTCCCCAGTCATAAGAGCAGAAAGCCTTGTGGGTTTCTTTTTACCCTCGACTGGCCAACAACGTTCCAAGTTTAGTAGGACAGCAAATACTATCTACACAGTGCTGCTGGCAGCCCCTGAACCTTCAGCGATGCACAAGAAGCAACACACTTGTCACCTCCTGTGACAGCTGTCTTTCCTCTCTGTTTTTTGGCTGCTATGTTCCATCAAAGGAATTGAGCAGCTGATGGATACCCAAAAAGTATCATGACATAACTAAAGGGTGGGAATGCTCAAGGTGTCCTGGTAAAGGTGTCCTGTCCTCCAGCTGGCGTCCTAGGTCAGGTAGGATGGAGAACTTACAGGATGAAAGCTGCTAAGGAGCATGTTGCTAGGGAGGGCAGCACATACCAAGGACCTTGTCTGCCTGACCTAGGGGAAGGCTTTTCCCTATTCCTGAATCCAGTTGATGAGTTTAGGTTTGAAAGCCTGAGTAAGATGCATTAAACAGAATGCCAGGAAATAACCAGCCATCCCTGGCTGCGGAATGCAGCTACCTGGATTCTCTGCTTGATATTCCCCTTAGTCTTGTCCTTTATTAGCAGGAGAGCTGAGCTTATGCTTCCTCTTCAGTGATTACAACCAGCTTTGGCAAATTATCTCTGTTCATATCTGTAAGAGAAACCAACTCTTAGTGTTATGCTGCTGGCTGATGCGAGTGAACATTACCTCCAGTGCCCTTTGCTCAAGAAGAGCATGTGTGCTCTCCCTGGCTCATCTGCCTCTCCATGGCTGCAGAGGTTTGAGTTTCTGCTTTTCCTTCACACCTCAGCTGTGGTGAAAAGGGTTTTGTCGTGGCTGAGCAGAGATGAGGCTGTGTGTCTAGTTAACAAGTTTTGTAGACCCTTAGGTGTTTTGCCTAAATATTTTGATTTTTCCTGTTTCTGAGGACTGGAGCCTTCTGACAGGTTTTGTGGACTTGAGCTGTGGTTGCTAAGCGAACACAGAGATGTGTGCGATTTTCATCTTACTATATTGTGCCTTACACACACACACAAAAAAAAAAGGTCTTTGCAATGAGGTGGTCTGAAGTTACTTTCAGTTATGTGGGTTAGCAAATGTAGATAACAGTGTTAGGCTAACCTACATAGAACATGCTTGGGTTATTTGTAACGGGGGGGATGTAGCTCTGTTTCTCACATAGCTGTGACCAGATGAGATGGGCTCCTGCAGCAGTTGGGAGTTCAGGAGGGCGAGTATGAGGATGGTGGTGTATCCCTGCTCCTTCGCTTCCCGTTGGAGTTCAGGACCTTTGTACAGTAGCTGCTCCTTGGCACTTGGTAGGTCCTGCCTGGGTGAAGGAATGCGTTCCCTTGGGCTGTTGAGTCCTGGGTTCATGTTTGCACTTTTTTTTCCTCTTTCATCTCTCCTTTTTATGGCCTTTGCTTCTAGCATCGGTGTTGGATTCGGGATGTTCAGAAGGTTGTCACTGTGGTCTCCACACCAGGGACTTGAGAGACCTGAAATGAGTCATGGGGGCTAATGGGTCTTTTCATTTCCCTTGTCCTTTCTTGTGAAGTACTTTGGCTTTTGTTAAGCTACACATGAAGGAAATTGAGATGATGTTATAAAACATTCAGTGAAGAGAGCAGGAGTGTCTGCTCTTCTGCCTGCCAGTGTGATGGCTCCAAATGCAAGATCACTTACTGTCTCATACTAAGCCACTGTTCTGGGAGTCCCAGCAGTTTTGTCTTAATCAGTTTTAGTGCCTTATGCGGAGAAAATAACTTTTTAAAATGCAAAGGGAAGAAGGCTTCTGAGAGATGGAAAGATCTTGTTACCAAGAAGAGCTCTTGCACCTTCTCCATTTCAAGTGTGTGTGGCATCGTGGTGCATCTTCAGATGCCGTTGCCTTCAGACAAGCTGATGCCTGGGCAAAGCAGTGATATTTCACAAACCTCAACTGTCTAAATGGTTTCCAGAGTTTGTGTGCTTCCCAGGAAACTTTCCCTCTCAAGTGTGCTTTCTCTGTTGCAGGCGTCTCTCACTCCAGTGAAGTCTGGAGGAGAACTGGAGGAAAAACCAAAGCCGAAGGATCGAATCACCTCATGTCTTTTGGAGAATTGGAACAAAGGAGAAGGCCTGGGATACGAGGGAATTGGCTTGGGCATTGGGTTACGAGGGGCCATCCGGTTGCCATCCTTCAAGGTAAAAACAAAGACCTGCCTTTCATTTTGCTAACATTCCCTAAAGGAGCATTAGGAGGACAGACCTCTGGGTTTGTGTCCCAACGCCCTGTGGGTGTTAGCCCCACTCTGCGTTCATTTATGGGGTTGCTTCTGACAGCATCACTGTAACCCACCAGTACACTCTAAGAGCAAGGATCCTCTCCCCCAGCCTTAGCTTTTCATCTGCCACATGTGTGAATTGTCTGTGAAGGATCTCCCTGTTCTGCAAGGCAAATGGGACAGTTGCCTGTGTTTAGGAACCAGCGTTTCAGCCTGGTTGTAAAGTGCTTATGCTTGTAGTGCTTTACACAGTTATTTCTTCGCTTAGAATGACTTGCAGTTTGGCAGCTGAATCTCACCTGAAGTTTGGTTAAAAGTGTTCTCTGCCTCATGTAAGTTTACAGAATCAGACTTGTAAGCATAGGGTCACCTATTTCGAAGACCATGTGCATAAAAGATGAAAAGTATGGGTTGGGGGAGGGAGAGGGCGTCCCTGAAATCAGGATTTTGAATGCACAGAAGGTGTAAGTAAAGGTTTAGGATAAGAGATCCTGCAGTCTTCGTTTAGAATAAAACTTCCTTTGAGGTTCTTTAAGGTGGCATAGGCTCAGGCTCTCTTTCTGTTCTGCTAGGTCTCAGATACATGGATTTGTCGAGTGTTTTCTCTGTCATCTTCAAAGTACCTGGTGATGACCTGCACCATGCTGGTACCCAGAATGTTTTGATGCAAATTGAAGGGGTAGAATTTCATTCACAGTAAAATTCTGTTTGCAAGCAAATAAAGGGATCAAGAGCTGGGGAAGTGGCCCTTGGTTTCTGGGTGCAAGTCCCCATGGCAAAGTAAAGCAGTAGCAATTTGCTTAAGTTGATTTCTGCTGTTTTTAAACTTTTAGAAATGCTAATTGTATCTTTTGTTTAGGTGAAAAGAAAGGAGCCACCTGAAGCTGCCTCAGCAGGAGATCAGAAGAGAATCCGGCCTTCTACTTCTGTCGATGATGAAGATGAAGGTTTGCAAAGCACATTTGTTTGAAACACAAGAGCAGATGCAAACCACGTGCAAGCTGAATTCTTTTAAACTTCACAGCAGTGTGCTTACTTAAAGTCAAGGTTCTGAGCTAAAACCCTGCTTTTCACAACACTGATCAGCTGGGAGATGTCTCCTTTGGATTCAGTATCTTAAATTTACTGGCGGGAAATTTAAGACCCACATTTTATGGCTAACTCATAACCTGTTTTAGTTCTGCTGATGCAGAGCTGGTCACCCAGTAGAGGGAGCTCAGATGAGTTCACGGACTGTTGCAGGGGCAGTGCTTGCAGCTCACTGGGTACCTTGTGGGAGAAAGCATGTAAGAGACAGTTCGCCCTGCATTTGATTTTAAAAACAAAACAAAGTTATTTACCGGAAAAATCTATTGGAAGATATTTTAACTTTTTTTCTTGGAGGCAGGGAAGACTAGAAATAACACAAAGCTTTAAATATCTTTTGTTCTGCATAAAAAAGTGAATTCCAGTTAGTTGTTATTCTGAACCAACTTTATGGCACAACTGGTTTTGAAACTGAAGCAGGATTTTGTGAAGCACTTAAATAGAACAAAAAGGTATTAAATCGGGCTTACCTGTTCTGACCTCCGTCATACCATGTCTCCTAGCTTACAGCTTGTCAGCTCTGGCCACCTGCATTTTACCATCCTTGTCATTTGAAGACCCTGCACCCTATCTCACCATCACTTGCACTGTGCAATGAGTAAACCTCGGCTCTCACATGCCCCATGGGCAAATGGCTCTTAACATTGATCTTCTCAAAGAAATAGTGTCCATTATGTAGACAACTTTTTCCCTCTGCAAGGGATTTGATGGCAATTTCCTTCTTTCTTTTTTTTTTTTTTTCCCTCACCAGAGTCGGAGAGAGACAGAGATGCTTCTGATACAACATCTGACCTGTCAAAGAAGGATGCAGAAGCAGTGGGGCTGAGGCGGCGACCAGCAAGGCCGCTGGAGCTCGACAGTGAGGGAGAAGAGGGAGATGAGACATCAGGGAAAGAGGAAGAGTCTTCCTCAGAGAAGGAAGAGGAGCAGGAAGAAGAGGGAGGCTTGGTGAAAGCAGCACCTGGCAAGGTGTGTTGGTTTGTGATTGCAGTTTTGAATGTTGTCTGTCATTAAAAGGGGGCCTCATAATTTCAGATGCCAAATTCTACCTTCTCTTGTTCTCTACAGTCTCTAGAACATGAGTTCTGCTTTTAGGGTCTGCCCTAAGAGAACCTCTGTGAGGTTATTCCTTGTTCAGGTTCTCTGATCAGTGTCCCTGGGAGTTGGTGGTTACTACAGTGACAGCCAGGTCTCAGAGTCAGACACTGTTCATTTTTGGCAATGCTCTCTTGCAAAGGAGGAAGAGGAGGATGAGGAGGAGGATGATGATGAGGAGGATGAAGATGATGATGAAGAGGATGACGAGGATGAAGATGATGACGAGGAGGAGACAGGCATAGACACAAGTGACAAGGAGGAGGAGCAGGACTCCGAGGAGGGTGAGTAATTGTGGAAGCAGCAAGCGTTGCCTTTGGGGTCAGGTGTAGTCTCTTTTTTGTACTTGTGAGCCAATTTTTTTTATTTGTACACCTTCTTTCACTGAAGGTTTTATACAAGATAATGCATACAGGTCTTTTTTATTGTTACCTGCGAGGCTTCCATGTTCCCTCAGTCTGTGGATCTCTTTGCAATACCTCTGCAGCCCCTGAGTGATCCCAGCCCAACTTGACAGAGAGGCAGAGGTCTTAAACCCAGTTAAGTTTGTGCTTGTTTTATGAAACGTGTGTGGCTGGGAGGAGAAGGGACCAGATTTCAAATGGGTAATTTAGCTGCTAATAACTTTCTGTCCTATTAATCAGTTCCTGCTCTGGAAGGTGATAGTTTCCACATTTTAAAGCAGTGTGTGAAGACAGCAGAAAATCTTAGTACAACTCCAGTAAAGATGCAGTCCCCCAAGAGACCCACACGGGCAAGGTGCCAGGCAGCACTAGCTCTGCTGCTCGTGGAACTGCTTGTTGTGTGGTGATTGTTGTAAGCATCCGAATACATGGTTTATAAATCTCTTCAAAAATAAATAAATCAAGAGGTGACTCCTTCAAACCCACACACTGCTGTTGATGTTTCCATGCTGTTAGAGTGAGGAAGTGATACTTGCTCCTGTAGTAGACCCTCATTATTTAATGAAGTCAGAAAGCAGAACTAATGGTAATTTGTTCTTCTTGTAGATGTAGCAAGTCCCTCGTCGTCCAAGGCTGAAGTTGAATCATCTGATGAAAGTGAGGACTCCTCTGAATTTGAGTCAAGTTCAGACTCAGATGATGAAGATGAGGATGAGGATGATGATGATGAAGATGAGGAGGAGGAAGAGGTGGCTGAAGATCAAGATAGAGAAGCCATGGTTGCTGAGACTGAGCATGAACCTGCTGGTCATGAGCTTCCTGATGATGAGAGGGAGACCATTTTGGAGCTGTATCCTGTGGATGACTACATGGATGCAACAGGCTTGGGACTCGTGGAGCCAGCTTTGGCAGTGAAAGATGAAGGCATGGAAGAAATCAAGGCAGGGGAAGGTGAATGTGGTGAAGTCCCAGAGGCATCTATTGCTGCTGAAACACTGAAACACTTGGTTATGGAAAGAGACCAGGAGACAAAACTTGCGTTGTCTCCCATCTGCAGGCCAGGTATGCTCTTCCATGTGGTTTAGCATTTTTTACCACGTTTCCAAGTACAGTAGTCTCGCAGCATTCAATATGTGTGGTTTTGTATTTCACTTGTTCTCTTTCTTCCTCCAGTCTTGGCTCTAGGCTAGGTGTTATCTGTACAGGCAAAGAGGTCTGTGCTGAACTTTTCCTTCCTAGTAAGGAGCTCTACACAAGCCATCTGGTACTAAAAATACTGTGGTTATTGTATCCAGAATCTTATCCTGGGCCAGTTTAGTTAGTGTCCTACAGGAACTGAACAGTTGTCATAGTCTGAGGGTGACTGACTGGATGGTGTGATGGCTGAAGCTCAAGATAGAAAAGCCATGGCTGCTAAAACAGAACAGGAATCTGTGCTTAATGAGTCACTACTGGCTCCTTTTGGTTTTAATACTGAAGCAGTATGTCACTGGGAAGCTATATGGGGCAGGTGAGTGGAGTCTCAGAATTATATCTGGTTCCTGATATTATTATTTGTGAGTTTTTTTAATTAGTCCTTTTAAATGAGTGATACTCCCTGGTTTCCTGAAGGAAGGCGATTGTCTTCATTCAATACCGAGTTGTATTTAACCTAAGGAGATCAGAAACCTTTTACTAAAACAGGAATGAGTTGCATAAAGCTTGACAAATACTGCAGCTAGGGAGGAATTAAGAAGTTAAAAACTGGAGTCAACAGGATGATCACATGTGGTGTGGCCTGCAGTGTGAGCCTTGGGCAGGACTGGTGCGTGAGGACTGAGCAGTATTTTGCCACTTGGAGAGCTGGAAATCCAGTCCCTGCACAAGCTATCACTCCTTGGCTGCCATCAAATCTGAAAGGCGTAAAGAGGCAAAATGTAGTTTAGCATTTGGAAAGGGCAAAGAAGTTTTACACAGATCCTTTCTAGAACGGGTCATAGAGGACAGAAAGGATATAAATTTGGGGAGACCTGCATTTGGGCACCTTGACATGTGGAATGAGCTTTATAGGTAAACTTTTGGAAACAAGCTCAAAGTGCATCATTCTTCTTGTGCAGCCCAGCCCGGTCATACAGGGCTTACAGGGATCAGACCCTTCCTCAGCATCTCTCCAGTTCATTCAGCACAAATGGGCAATGCTCTCCTTCCAGCTCTCCAGGCATTTTCACCTCCTTTTGCTCTCCCACTTGAAAATGTTATTTTGAGCTGCCTAACAAGATTCACTGTTGATTCCTTTTGGCCCTGGCCCTAAGGGGGTAAATAAACTCCAGACAAATGAGCCTGCTGCAGAGAGAGCAGCATATAAATTGCCTCATTGATAGCATCTGAGTGTCTCCTCATTCATTACAAGGGCTTCCCGTTTCCTTCATGTGTTGTTCAGGAGTGTTACACTCCTCCCTTCTCTGCTCCCTCCTTGGAGAGCTGAGGGTGCTTCTTGGCCTTGCAATTAGTTTACTTTCCCACATTAGAAAAGCTGATAGCTTGGGGCTCTGACAGCTCTCCTCCAACGTCCTCACCCCACAATCCGCTAATTCTTTTTATGTCGGTACAAAAGGTGGTCAGGGGTTTTGAAAGCAGAAAAACCTTCTTTCTGGCCTGTGTTGTAGCTAATCCTCAAATTAATAGTGCGTTCTTTTTTTATGGTCCATTAGGGATGTCTGTGGTAGCGTCTAATTACTCCACACTCTGTGCCTCCAAGATGTAAAGCATTGGAGTTTTTAAAGCCTCCCAGTGGAATTGAGCTGTTCTGTAATTGCGGCATCTTAAACATGCCTTTACAAGTGGCGAGTAACCAAGTGGAAGCAAAGCTCCTGATTCTCCTCTCTTTTTCCCCTTTCAGAGGAAGAAACCGAACCCACTACCATGCTGGAGCCAGAGGTGCAGGAAGGTCCTAAGCCTGAATCTCAAGATGAGGAGGCGGCGCTCTGTCTCTCGACTCCAGTGGGAGTCTTTGGAGAACCTCTGGCCAATAAAAGCAGCTTCTTTAGCAAGTCTGATGACAGCAGCTTAGAAGCTCGTGTTAAAACAAAACTGCTCTCTGGAGCAGAGGAGGACGACCGGCTGCCTCGCACGCCTGGACGGGAGGTGATGATCCATTCAGAGACTGATACTCTTTTGCTCCCAGCCCACAAGGTGCCATCCTCCATGCTTCCCTTACCATCAACTCCCGGCAAGGAAGAATCTTTAGTCCCTCCAGAAAAGTTCCCTGAACAGTTAATGGTGACCAAAACGTCCGTGGAAGAGGAGATTCCTAGGACTCCTGGGCGAGACATTTTGGCCAAGTCTTCACACCCCCTTGCGAAGTCACAGAGCACGGAAACTGTTCCAGCCACGCCAGGAAGCGACGCTCCCCTTACGGGAAGCAGCTTGACCCTCAGTTCCCCTCAAGTCCCAGGGAGCCCCTTTTCCTACCCATCCCAATCTCCTGGCATTAACAGTGGCATTCCTCGGACTCCTGGGAGAGATTTCAATTTCACGCCTACTTTCCCAGAGGCTGGTGCTACCATTCCTTGCCTTCTGTCTGGCAAGAAACCGTCAGAGGATGAGCTAGATGAGAAACCCTTTAAAGAACCTCTTGGTGCTTCCCTTACGATCAGCATGAACAGTGTTCCTTCCCCTATCCCCTTTGCCAGCCCCCCACAAGCAGATTTCCACACGGACATGGGTTTGCCACCTGATGAGCCAATACCTGTAGCAGCCCTGCCATGCATGCATGGAGATGGAAGAATGCCCATTGAGGAATGCAAGGCAGATGTAAAATCTGTTTTGCTCTCACCAGAAGTACCCACTGGTGCTTCTATTCTTCCTCCCCCACCACCACCTTCTGTTCTTCCCAAAAGGAGGCCAGGTCGGCCAAAACGGTCGCCACCTTCTGTCCTCTCGTTGGATGTGTATTCGGGCAAAACCATAGAGCCTCCTCCTGTGCCAGTGGCCTTGGTGGATAGTGCTGTGGGCAAAGAGCTCTTGAGTGGACATCCTGATGCTTTCTATGGACTGAAAGACCCTGAAGCCGTCACCCTGGACTTCAGGAATGACGGTTTCCATGAGAAAATAGCAACTGAGACAGTTGCAGAGAAACTGCCATTTAAGGAACTGGAGAACCAGTGGAATGAAGACTTCAAGGAAGAAGAAGCTCACGCGAAACCTAAAAGACAGTGGCGAAGGCAGAAGAAGACACCTGAGGACCTCCCAGTGATTCCTTCCCCTGAGTATTCCCCACCCCGGCCTCAGTTCAGGCCACGCTCCGAGTTTGAGGAGATGACCATTTTGTATGATATTTGGAACGGAGGCATAGATGAGGAAGATATCAAATTCATGTGTATCACATATGACCGCTTGTTACAGCAGGACAATGGTATGGACTGGCTCAATGACACCCTGTGGGTATTCCATCCTTATATCCTTTCTCACTGGCGCGCTGCGTTACACGAAGCGTGTAAGATGCACTAGATGGTCGTTGTGGAGGACTTACAATGCAAAAGACTAAATTTGTTGCCTACTAGAATAGCAATTGCTTATATCAGCAGGGAATTTTAGACTGTTTTATTCCCTGAAGCTGCAATATAAAAATACTGCAGAAGTGGCTGTTCTTGCTGCATTTTCAATCTAGGACTGCAGGGAAAATCTGTATGCACCTCTTCTGGGGAGATTTCCTTGCTAGTTTGAGAAGCTTCTGTCTGCATTTAAACCAGACTCTTTTTTTTTTTTTTTTTTTTTTTTTTTCCAACTTGCCTGTGGAATTTCTAGTCTGCACATACAGGGCTTTAACTTGGGGCTAAAACTTGCTGTAAAAATAATCTCACCATCTGTGCCCAAAATGATGAGTTAGTGGTGCTAGCAGCTTTAACTCGCTTTGAGTTTGAAATACTAATAAAAGCAATGGTTTCTAAGCTGCACATGAGGGACAGACATGGCCCCGGGCTGGGTGGGGGAATAGACTGCTAGTGCTGCAGCGAGGAGCACGTGTAGCACCAGCTGGTGCTGGTGGGGCAGAGTCTGGCCCCATCCCCTCCCTCCCTCCCTGCCTGTGATCTGGTAATCGGTGGCGTAGGCTGTAGCTTTGAATCTTTGGGAGCATTTTTGGGACACATGAGCTGTCTCACAAGGCTCTACATGTGTACTGCCACCAGTAGTGATCTCCGGAACAGAGCCTAAAATGCTGTTCTCATAACCTAAGTAGTATAATTTTTTTTAGGAAGGATATATAGATTTATATGCTAAAGAAGACAAAGGCATCACCTTGTGTGTTGCTGGAGATTGTGTGTAGTTAAAATATCTTATCCCTTACTCCCTGCAAGACATGAAAGCAAAAGCAAAAAAGCCCAAACCTCTTAAAATAGTCAGTGATGTGATACTAACAAAAAGCAAGTGGAGCTTAGTGCCGAGCTGGGTGTTTTTATCCTTGCTTTCCATGCATCTCAAAGGGTGACGTGTAAGATTAAATTTATAATTTTCTGCCTTTTCATACCAGTGCAATAATCTTGAAATACATTTATTTAATTGTTTAAAGGAAATACTCAAAAAAGATGATGAAATGCATTATCACCAGTAATTCTCAGTCTGTGTCTGCCTCGTCTGGGGAAGCAGTTTCAAAACCAAACCAGTTTCAAGGTGGGAGTAATTGGCCCTGCAGTGGTGGGTGACCACAGCCAGTGAAAGACAGGACGGGACAGCTGAGGTTAGGCCTGGCCTATGACCGTGTGCTTAAACGTGTTTGCATTTGGCACATAGTGGAAATATTTGAAATCTGTTTCCCTGTTGATAAGGATTATTGTAACAGCAAATTTACAGTCACTTTTAAAACCATTTTAAAAAATCATCTGTGGCTGGTTGCCAGTTCACCCGGTGCTACACTGCGCAGTAGGTGTGAAACACCTGCAGGGTTCACCTGCTTTGCAGCAAGCTCACACCTCAGCACTCTGACTTCAAGACCATCACTTCTTGCTTTTTATGGTCCCTTGGCTTCAATTTTTTAGTATTAAGGATATTTTCTGACTCAGGGGAGGCATTTTTGGGTAGATCTTAATCGTCGTAGGCTTCACGGCTGTGTTTTTGGGGTGAACTGCCAGTAGTACAGCTCCACTGTCCTTCCAGAAGCCAAAGACCTGAAGGTGCCTTCTGCCTGCTCCGTGCAGTGAGTCCTTGCAAGATCAGCTGCAGGTTTTCTTGACTGATAGGAGACTGGGGTTTGAAACATCTGCGCAGAGTCTTACCCTTCCCAAGCTGAATTACCGAGGGTGGTGAGAGCAGCATCTCTCTCCAAGCCCTTTGGGCTGAGGAGCATCTCTTGCCCATCTGGTTGGTGGGGATGATTGCTGCCGTGACATCAGCGCGGTGTCTTCAGAGCTTGGGGTGGCAGCAGGGAATTTCTGGAGGTAGAACAAAAGCATGTCACTCAAACCAGAGAAAATGGTACATCCAGATGGCTGGGCAGCTGCTGTCTGTGTACGTAGTGGGTGCTGTGGGGAAATCCTTTCTCAAACAGGTTTCTCTTGACAGCTTAACCTTTTTATGTTTAAATTTTCATTACCTCTTTAGTTTCCCAAAAGCGTGCAGCTAAGAAGGAAAGACCGTGCTTGTTTTTTCTGTAGGTGTTTAGACTTCAGTGATATTTTCTTATTTTTCAACAATATTACTATTTTTTGCAGCCCCCCCCCCATAATTTTCCGAGCTCCCAGTGTTAGCTCCATGTAGCTGTAGCAAGTTTTGTCTGATATCTGGTGGCTGCGTTTCTCCTTAACTTCTTTCCACCTACTAGCTTTTCTACTCCCAAGAAAAAGAAGCGGGATGATGGGATGCGGGAGCATGTGACAGGCTGTGCACGAAGTGAAGGCTATTACAAAATTGATAAGAAGGACAAACTTAAATACCTCAACAATAGCCGAGCTTTTGCAGAGGAGCCTCCAGCTGACACGCAGGTGAGGACAGGTCCTCTGCTGACTGCTGGGGTGTGAATGGGATTTGGTTTTCAATGGTGTCACACACAGGAGATGCTTCCTGCCTTTTGGCAAGGAGGGAGGTGAAGCTGTTGCTATGTCTGTGTCACGTTGGTTGTCTGGGAGCTGCCAGGGAGGTGTCAGTGTTTGATGTGGGATGTTTTAGGAGGCCACACGTTCTGTGGTGGTGTTGTAGCACAAGGGATTGCTCACAGGGAGGCTGCGGGCTGTTGGATCAGCTTTGATCACCCATTTGTCCTCTCAGGGTATGAGCATCCCTGCCCAACCTCATGCTTCCACCCGGGCTGGCTCCGAGAGGCGGTCAGAGCAACGCAGGCTCCTCTCCTCCTTCACTGGTAGCTGTGACAGTGACCTGCTCAAGTTCAACCAGCTCAAGGTAGGTCACCCCGTGGATTGCTGCTTTGCACAGGGGCTGGTTGGGAGCAGGCTGAGGCCAGTTTGGCCCCACCTTGGTGATGGCCATCTCGGCGCTGGGGACTGCTCTGCATGCCAGAGGGTTGAATGGTGCCTGGCTCTCCTGTACTTCCATGTAATACAGCCTGGTACAATAATACAACTTAATACAAATAATTTACCTAAATAAATAGGAACAGAGTGGTCACAGGGAAAACATGACACGTAGTCCACTGTACTTGCTTGTGAGAAGCAGATACTGATAAATGACTATAAATAAGTATGTGATGATTATAGAGCTTGAGCCTGGTCAGAACTGTCAGGGTTATGCAGAACAGAAAGCGATGGCCTCAGAGTCTGCTCTCCCCAGTGTGTGGTCAGTGATAAAAACCCAAGTACTGCAACTCTGGATGAACTGATGGATGAAGTGGCTAAGCCACTATCCCCCATATTTGAGAAGTTGTGGAAGTGTTCAAGGCCAGGTTGGACGGGGCTCTGAGCAACCTGATCTAGTGGGAGATGTCTCTGCCCGTGGCAGGGGGGTTGGAACTAGATGATGTTTAAGGTCCCTTCCAACCCAAACCATTCTATGATATGATTCTATGATACAACTCTGTGGGACCTCCCATGATCTCTGTCCTGCCTTCCTGTCACCACACGACAGAGGGAACTGAATCAGATTGCAGTACCCAGCACTTCTTGTGGCTGGGAGCATGCTGCAAGTGTTGGACCCAGGGACAGCCTTTCCCTTTGTGTGCTGTTGCTAATTTAGACTTGGGGTTTGGGGGTGTTCTCTTCCTGCAGTTCCGGAAGAAAAAACTAAAATTCTGCAAGAGCCACATTCATGACTGGGGCCTTTTTGCTATGGAGCCCATTGCAGCTGATGAGATGGTGATTGAGTACGTGGGTCAGAACATCAGGCAGGTAAGCTGGACTGGGGGTGAAATCTGAGCAAAAACCAGCCCTGAAAGAAGCGCTCGAGCATGACAGCGGGGCTTGGGTTTACAGGGGTGGGATTTTCAACAACCCCTAGAAACTAAGCACTCGAATCCTTAGGAGATAGGCTCCCAAGAAGCCCATCCTGAACTCCTGTGTTTTCAGTTAGGTCTGTTGAGTGGCACTAGCACAGCTCAGGGGAGCGTCGTGTAGGTCTCTGCTCACAGATCACTCCTGCAGCACGTCCTGACCCTACACATGGGGTTTAACTGTAGGTCATTGCTGACATGCGTGAAAAGCGATACGAGGACGAAGGCATCGGAAGCAGTTACATGTTCAGAGTCGACCACGACACCATCATCGATGCCACGAAATGTGGAAACTTCGCCAGGTTTATTAATCACAGCTGCAATGTAAGTATCATGTTTTTGCATGTAATTGTACCCTGACATACTGATAAACCCATTGAGTCCTTGCTAACTTTGACTGAGGCCGTGTTCACAAGTAGCAGGGGGTCACAGGGTTATGATTAAACGTTAATGAGCTGCAGCAGATCAAAGCAGGGTCTAGACTAGCATAAAGAGATTGAGAGACCTGAGAAATGAAACGTGCAGTGAGACAGAGTGTGCTCAGAATTCTCCTGACTCTGTTGGGGGACCCTGACAGACACTCTTCAAACATATCTAATAAATATTTCCTTAAAATTTTAGCATTGTTATTCTGTGGGAATAGTCTCCTTTTAGTGTCCACATGGGAAAAATATTCTCTGCTGCAGTCTACACTCAAAGACTTGGCAGCCTGACCAAATTACTAAGTGTTAGTTGTGCTGTTCTTAGCCTGTGACAAACTTGGTGGAGTATCTTGCAGGCTCATTTATGTCACAAATGACCAGAATGTGGATATTTTGGAGGAACACAAGGAGGGCTGCTCTTGTTTTCTGTCTTTACACCTCCCTCTCTCAGCTTCCCCTGGGTCCAGGCCCTGGAAGCATGGCTGAGGCTGTCTAGGGAAAGGGCTGCCCTGTTCTATTTTAGTGTGGAATAATTGTGTGGAAGCTGGGAAGCCATGGCCACCAGGAGCCTAAATCATGACTTGTTCTGTCACCCTTGCAGCCAAACTGTTATGCTAAAGTGATCACGGTGGAGTCTCAAAAGAAGATTGTCATCTACTCCAAACAGCACATCAATGTGAATGAGGAAATTACCTATGACTACAAGTTTCCAATTGAGGATGTAAAAATCCCATGTCTATGTGGCTCTGAGAACTGCAGGGGAACCCTGAACTGAACTCGAGGTTTCTCGTCACACTTGCACCTTCGGCCATGTCAAAACTGTGGTAACCAGGTGTGGTTGCACTTTGCCAAAAAAAGAGGAAAAAAAAAAACCAACAAAAAACCATTAAAAAAAAAGGAAGAAAAAAAAATTTAAAAAGGAAAAAAATATTAAAAAAAAAAAGAGAGGAAAAAAAAAAAGAGAAGAAAAAAACCAAGCAAGTTTCGCACTTCTGCCAGGATCACGAATGAAAGCAAAAAGCGCACACGCTTACGAGGACTGTTCATGTTTCAGGTGCTCTTTCCTTTTCAGATCCAACACGCACACAAAAAGGTGACTACCATTTTGTGGCATGGTCTATCCAAACACTAGCTTCTCTGTTCAGTCCCTACATTAATGCTCCATCATAGGATAATGGTACCTTTTTTGTTAGTTGTTATAAACCTTCATCTTTTCATAAATGCTGCTACCTTTTTCTCATCAGTTTTGTTGGTTGAAAAAGACATTCAACGTTTAAATGTGAAGCAGAGACTGAAAATGCCATATAGGGTTTGTTGGGAGCTTGATTGGCTGAAATTGCACAGATTTCTCAGAGTAAGCTGTAAATAAATGTAAGGTTGATGTTACAGAGCAAGCCAGAGGCTTGAGGGTGTGTGAATGGGTGTGTGCGTGTGCTTGGGTGCGTGTATGTATGGAGATGTGTCCGCAACGAGACTATAGGTGAACTGTCCTGCCTTGTTGTTAGGGATGAGCCTGAACAAGTTCCCTAAGCCAGACACCCCGGGGAGGAGTCAGGTCAGCTGCAGACCTCAACGCCTTGGGCTCGTCTCTAATTTTCGTATGCCGTGCTGGTATACTGGGGGATCAAAACCTCTGCGCCCGTACATGAGAGACATTTGGATACTGCAGTCACTAGTAAAGAAATCAAGTCAGTTGTGTAGCTGTAGCATCGTGGCACAGCGTGTGGCCTTTAGGGATGCCCGTTTCTTGGAGATCTGTTTGTCTTGCATGCAAAAAAAGGCTGAGTCTGAAATTAAGTGGACTATTCAGCCCATGTTTACACTGCAGAAATCTTACCCTCCTTGGAAGCATACACTACGGCCCACGTTTGTAACAGGATTTTCTTCCTGTAGATGGGGAACAGGCTAATGTGTGTCTCATACTAACTTCTCTCATTTTTGTTTGCATTTCCCTGCCCTTCCAGCATTTTGCGTGGATTATTTGCGCTGTCCTTGAATGTGGGAGATGCCTCCTGTGATAGGAGCAAGCTGTGTCGTGCCGCTCTCCTCCCTTTGTTACTCAGTAACTTGCCTTGGGGTGGTCCCATCCCTCCAGTAATAACATGGTAAAAGTGTCCCCTGGAGCAGGCTGTGGGAGCAATCCTGTCCTCCTCCATCTACAGCATGAAAATGAATGCTGCTTTACATTTGGAAGGCATAGTTTGAAATTATTTTTCAATATATTTTGTCCTTGTAGATGTGCTGAGGTGAAGGTTGCAGTTCTTCGAGATGTTCCATTTAAAAATGGGACAAAACACCAAATAAATACTTCTTTGGATGCGATCTGAAAATGTTACACGACCGTTCAGGTATAGACAGGATCAGTTTTTCAACTTGCATTGAATGTCTCCTGCTTTAAAAGTAGAGATTAGTTGTACTAAAACCTTTTTAATTGGCTTGTAAGGGGAAGTTGCAATGTCATTACGAAATGGGAAGATTATTTGCATAATGAAACATCATCTCCCTGCAGAACAAATGGTACAGCTGTATTTTTGTAGCCTTTCAAAATCAGTGATAATTGCTGTATGACCACAGCTCCACTATCAGAGGTTACAACCTTGCAAAAGAGTTTCCTGGAAGTTTTCTCAGCTGTTAACATGGAATTGCCAGGCCTGCACCGTGGAGTGGAGCTTGTAAAGTAGGTTAGAGCTCTGCATCTGAATTTCTTCTTTAGACAAAAGGCCTGAAAGAACAGGAACACACAGACTGCTACAAGCTGCCTTAATACTGCCTGTATTTCTGTCTGAGGGCGAGGAAATTGTCACTGAGATTGGACAGTCCATGGTCTCATCTCTGTTTTGGTTTTGTTCTGTTGTTTCCCCCTGCTTTCTATAAATCTTCCAGCAATTGGGTAACGGTGACCCAGAACCTGAAATTATGAGAAGCACAACTAGTTTCTGTCATTGAACATTGGTTGTAACTGCAGCGATGGCAGGAGCATTTGGGAGTTAAACCAGCTGCTCTATTTATTTTATTTTATTTTAAATAAGGTTCATCTTGTTGTGTTGACGCTCCAGTTGGTATCTCTACAGCTTGGCCTTTTACTTTCATAGCTTTGGAAATGCACAGAAGTTTCCTGTGTCTCAGAACTGAAGCCCCTGCATGCGGCGGTTGTGCCGCTGTCCTTGGCCTTCTTCCTCTCTGGTCCATCAAACCAGTGTGTTAACTGTGGTTTTGTGGGGGCAAAGACACCCCACATGGCCCAGCCCCTATGTACCTGCTGACAGTTTTGTATTTCCAGCATGTCTGTGTGCTCTGGATGGGATTAGCCCCTGCAGTTTGCCTTAATTTTTGTTGAGGAGAGGTGGGGAGGCAGGTCACGGTCTTGTGAAGTGAGACCTACGGGCTGGGGTACTTCATCATGTTTTTAGGAGCATCAGAGGGATTTGGGTGCCAAAGACTGTGAGCACCTAAATCACTTGGGTACTTCTGAAACTGCCCGTAACCCCTCCCTTTTTAGGATCCCAAACAAAAAGATGAGTTTTTGGAAGAGCTGAGACCCCAGTAGCCCCTCAGGAGGAAATGGAGCTGTTGGACCCACAGCACTTCTGAAAGCCAAACCTGAGATTGCTCTTTTCTTCCCCATAAATCTTGGCCTGCAGAGTCCTGCCTGTGCAGCTTTTGTCTCAGACTGCAAAGCCGCCCCATCCCCAAACCAGATCATTTTACAGTGAGGATGATACGTCTGGTTTAGTGACTTCTATGAGTTGCCGCAGTTGCCCGTGGCTGCCCTGTCCCTGCAAGCTTGGCGGGTCTCACTGGGGCAGGGGAGCCCTGCAGCCACAGGACATGGTTTTGGAAGCCATGGAGATGCCTCTCTCGTCCCTCCTGGGTACTTTGGTGAGATGAAAGGAGAAAGGCAGAAGGGGTGTGATTCACACCCCAGCCTGGATCGGACCCAGCGTTTGCCTCCGTGGTCAGCAGGGGCACTCCAGCATGGAAATAGTGGCAAGGACTGAACAAGGAAACTCACCAGTGCGTGCTGCTTTAGAGAGATTTAGTGAAGTTTTGTTGGCTGAAAAGCTTGTCCCCAATTTATTTTCACTTAAATAGAAACCGAAGACATAAAAAGAGAGAGGTGTTGACTGTGCTCCCTGCAAAATCGTATCTCGCCAAGGGAAATAACCCAAGAGAACAGTGCAAAACTTTTGGAAATTCAGCTTAAATCTTTAGTTCCCCAACACGAAGCTGGTTTGAGTTCAGGGTTGCAGCTTCTAGGAAGCATGGTCTGTGCTTGCAAATCCCACCTGCTGCTGCCCAACACCTTCATTTATCCATCTGGTTTGCACCCCTTTGCAATTCCAGGTTGGTCCCAGTGTAAGTGGTCTGTGACTATCGGGGGTCTGGGAGGGGAAGGGGCTCATCTTGCAGATATTTATATTGTATAGAGCAGCTTATTTCTACAAGAAAAAAAAAAAAAAAAAGAATTTTTAAACTCCAACAAAGTATACAGTAGTTTCAGTTCTGGGTTTTGTGACCTTTTTCAGGGATCATTTCAGTGCATTTCTGTATAAAATAAAAATTTAAGGAAAAAAGGATTTTGAAGTATAAAAAAAAATGCATCTTCTGTACATAGGCAAACTCAAGAATCTTCTCTTCAAACACTGTTTCTTGTAGAAACATGTTGAAATTTTTTTGCTGATTTCTTTGTACTTCAAGAGCATGTAAATAATTTATTAAAAGTGACTATTGTAATTTGGAGTTCTTTTTAAACAGATTCCAGCTCTAAATGATGCCGAGGAGATGGGGAGGAAGAAGGACTAAGTATAGCAAAGGAGCTGGTGGCATTTACAGCTTGTGTCAAGCTTTGTATAATGTAAATTCTGTATAAATATGTTTTTTTGTCAAATAAATAGATGGAATTAGAAGCATTAAGAAACTGAAGACAAAAAAATTGCCAAGTCAAGGCTTCTTCTTTCCCCCCCCACCCCAGTCTGAAACCTAATGTGCAAAATCTATTTATTTCAAGCGAGGAAATGTGTACAGTCTAATAGACAACCTAAAATGTATTTAAGCAAGTTTGCAACTGGATTTTTTTCAATTTAATATTTGTTTTGTTTTTATGAGTTTCCTCCTTAATTGCCACTGTAGTATTTGTCCAAGTGAAAAGAAACACATCGTAACGGACACTTTAAAACAAATGGGCAGTTTTAAAAGCCAAATGGAAGAACACCCGGCTCCCAATCCTTGCAGTTTTCTGGTTCTATAAACAGGTTGTTTTAATTCACAGTGTGAAAATAAAGGGCCTCCTTTAAAAGGAGGCAGGTTAAATGGTTTGCAATAAATGGAAAAAAAAAAAATTTTTTTTTAAGTTCCTTAAAAAAACAACTCTGCTTTGAAGATTTAGGATTTCTGCTTTTTCTTTCGTTAAGCAAATTTATAAATTTAGGGATGTTTTGTGCATATAGAATCTGTCACCAGTATGTATCTTGTTTTGAAGAAAGTGTTTTTGTTGTGGATGTGTCATGCTGTATATATTTGTTCATATTTTTGTGAATTGAATACTATGTACCATTGTATTATAGTAACTTTTATAAAGCAAACCATAAATATACTGACTTTTCTTACAGAAAAATTATGTTGTGCTTAATGTATAACCAGGGCAGTTTTTTTGCTCTCAGACCTGTGCTGGGAACCATGAGAGCTCAAGGAACCAGATCCAGAAAAAGGATAGTTCGAGGAACCAATTTTCAGCAAAGTTTACTGAAAATAATAATTCTGGTGAGCAGGAAATTACTTTAAGCAACATTATATATTGCATGAAAGAAATACGTGAGTGATTTAAGTTTATAAACGTAAAATTTTCTTAGTGTTAAAAAACCTTACAACCCTTAGGGCCAGGCGCTGCCCCCCTGGCCACAGTGCCCGTGTCCCTGACCTGTCCAACCCCGGTGGTGGTGCCTGGGCAGGTGAGGTCCCTGCTCCTGCAGCCTCTGCCTGGGATTTTTCTGATCTCACATCTTGGGTTTTTTTAACTTTATGGAGGCGAAAGCCCTTAATCTACCAAGTGAGGTGTTAGTGTTGCTGGTGTGGGTGATGCTGTGAGGCTGTTGGGGCCAGAGACCCTTTTTTTGGTTTTCCTTTTAAATTAGTTTATTCAAATCTGAAATTAATTCTGTTACCCGTAGTTTACAGGAGGGGAAGCTACTGAGGTTTGATGCAGGTGAAAGCACAGCCTGGATCTGGCCGTGTGTCTCCAACCCTCCCTCGTTGGGGGCTGCTGCTGTGAACGTGGTGGTGGTCCAAGTGGCTTCTCTGAGCTTTAGGAAAAAAAAGTTTCCTGGAGCAGGGGCGCATGGGGTGGCTGATGGAGGAGGAAAGGGGAGAGGCAGGAGAGAGCCTGGCCTGTAGGTGACTTCCCAGCTCAGTTCTCAGCTTCCACAGCTGCCCCCGGCGGCTGAGGGAGGGGATGGGGATGCGGGACAGCCCAACCTCGCAGGGCTCAGCTCGGGGGTGGCTGGATGGGGCAGGGGCGTGGGCTGGGGGGAGAGCTCGTGTCTGCGGAGCCGCTGCTGAGCTGGGGGCTTGGCTGCTCGGGGTTTGAGTGGCTTCGATGCTGGGAAACGGGGAGCAGTGGTGGGTGCAGGGGGGCTTTAGAGGGCAGATGTGCAACGGGGGGGAGACCTGCGGGCACTGGAGACCCCGAAATGTTCTTCAGCAGTTGTGTGCTGAGGGCTGCGGCCTCCTCGGGGAGCCACAGCCTGCGTGGGGTGGAGAGGCGCCAGCCCTGTTAACCTGCCAGGCACTCAAAGCTGGGACAGCACAGGGTTTTACTGTGTTGGTGAGGAAAAGTCCCCTTGCAAAGGACAGTGACAACACCAGAGCGATGCCCAGAGGGGACTTTGCACGCACAGCCAGGATCTGAGCCAAGGAATCACCGCCAACACCAGCAATTGCTTCTTGAAATACAGGAGAAACCCCAACTCTTCATTAACTCAGGAATTTACAGGTATTAGAGCAAGGTTGTGTTGCCTTGGGAAGGCTGAAATACGTAAATTCGATTAAGTCTCATTCCAGAATGTTGTAGCTACCCTAAAACCATGTGTTTAATCTCAGCAAATTCAAGATTGAGTCTAAAAGCAATTAAATCTTACAAAACGAGACGTACCGAGAGGCAAACGCCTCCGTGCTTTCCTCTCCCAGCTTCCCGCGTAGCTAAAATTAACAGAAAACTTTCTATAGACTAAATTTAAGCGCTCCCAGTTTCTTCTGTCTTCCTCCGTAGCTCCGTGTCTTTGGCACATGCCTTGTATCTGCCCTTTGTTAAGAATTCGGTGGTTTGGATCAGATCAAACTGCTTTTTAAGAGTGTGTTCGCTATTTCCCACGCTCCCTCTCCTGAGAAGTCGCTGGAGGGCAGCGCTGGGGCTGGGTCGGGGTAGGTGTTGAGTCCTTTTACATCTCCATCTTGGCAGCAGCTTCCCTGGGTTTATGACACTTAGGTCTGGGCTATTATAACCAAAGCACTGGCTGTTTCCCGGTTCGTTTGTGAGTCAGCTCGTTAGGGGCGAGGGTGGCGTTTTTCTGCCGTCCTCTAGATGCGCTTGGTCTCCCCGTTGGGCTCCAGGATGGTCAGGTTTCCTCTCGCATCTTGATCTATTTCTATTGCTTCAAAGAGAGACTTGAAGTTCCCGGCGCCGAAGCCCTGCGGAGGTGACAACGTTACAGACCGCGGGGACGGGCAGCGGGTTCATCACCTGGGAGGGAGCAGCACCCAGAGCTGCCCGGGTGACGGCACGTGATGGCCCTGAGCTCTCCAAGCCAAGGTCACTGTGAAATCCCCAAACCAACCTGGTGGTTGTGTCGCTGGATGACCTCCAGAAAGACCGTGGGTCTGTCTTGAACTGGTTTGGTGAAGATCTGGAGCAGGTAGCCTTTCTCATCAAAATCCACCAGGATTTTCAGTTCCTGGAGAAAAGAAGTGGAGCAACAGCTCAAAGACTCACAGAGGAGAAAGGGGATCCTTTTACGTCACCCTCATCCCTGCAAAACACTGCGGGGAGCCAGTCCAGCCCCGGGCAAACCTTTTCCCTCTCAGGCTGCCCTGACTCACCTCCAGCTTGTCGATGCTCTCCTTCACTTTGATTTTGGCAGTTTTCAGCCTCTCCCGCAGCATCTGGTAGTAGCTGGATGGCACGTCCATGAACTGCAGGCCCCGCTGCTTCAGGTTGGTGATCTGCAAGGCAGGGGAGACCCCGGCGTGTGTCCGCTGGGCTTGGGGCTCGTTTGTGGGGAGGTTTGTGCCAGGAGGGTGGCCCAGGACGAGCAGCGTCGGGAGGCAGAGTGATGCTTTCCCGTGACATTGGCCAACCTTATGGGTGGGGACCCGTCCCACCCTCCTGCTCTGGGCACCAGGAACGGGCCCAAGATGCCCTCTCCAGGCAGCGCGGAGTTGGTCCCCATGCAAAGATTCTTTGTCCCACCCTGACCCCCCAACACCTCTGGAGGCCTCTTGGTCTGGACGGGAGTTCAAAGCCACGTGCTCGACAGCAGCTGGGCCCAGTCCAGACCAGCACCTGCCCCAGGGGAAGGTGGGTGATGCGCTGTGGTGGCTCAGCCCAGGCTGCCCCAGCTCCCCACCAGCCACCCCCTGAGGGCAGCACGTGCCATTTGCAGCCCCCAGTTGCTTTAAGCCGGAGGGACGAGCATCTCCCAGCAACTTGCAGGCGGAGGCAGGTCCCTTTCCAGCAGCTCACTGGGCAGTTAATCCTGGTTGTAAGACAACCACGGCGCAAAGCCTGCTCAGCCTGCCTGTGTCCTTGTACCCCAACGAGGGTCATAGTCCACCCCCCCCCGACAGGGACTGTGCCCGGCGGGATGGGGCGGAGGTGGAGCGGGGCGGGACGGGCGGGGGCAGGGACCTGCCGGGGCTGCACTCACCGCCGAGATGATGTCGGAGGTGTTCAGTGCGATGTGCTGGACTCCAGCCCCTCCATAGTAGTCGATGTATTCCTACAGGGAAAAAAAGTCACTGCGTGAGTGACAGCGCAACTATAGCGTGCAAAGGGCTGGGCCTGGGCTTAAAAACATGAAAGCAAAATTGGCCGAGGGAGCACAAAATGACAAAATGACAGTGAAATCGGGGGTAAACCAGCTCTGTGCCGGCAGCTCTCCAGGGTTTGCCAGCCCTTTGCAGGCCCAAGCAATCAAGGGCCGCTTTCTAGAGAGGCACCTTCGCACCGCCGGCTCCAAGCCACTGACCCCTTGGTCCCTTTTCTGTCACCAAAGCCCCCGCTCAAGGTGGTGGCAGCATGATGGACGCACCCACCTGAATCTGAGATTTCCTCTTGCCGAGTGCCGGCTCATTGATGGGCATCTTGATGGTCTCTTCGTAGTTGGTCACCACGATGGAGCGCAGGGCGCTGAACTCGGTGTGCAGCTGCTTGTCATCCACTGACCAGAAGCGGTGGAAGAGCAGGTTCTTCTGGTACCTGACCAGGCCACAAAAGGCACAATCAAGTCCCTTGCTCCATCCCCGCACTAATGAAGCCCTGCTCTGGCTTAATTAGCCTCAGCAGCTGATGTTGGAGAGGATGAGACCGGCAGAGGGGTGCTGCTGCTCCATCCCACCTCCTGCCAACCCTCCCTACTCTTACCAGTCTGCCACTGGGACCATCTGGAGGTCGGGCTGGTTCCCCACGACGTGGTCAACGAAATTGAGCTTGCCACTCGGTCTGCGGGGGGAAGCCGGGGGTGGCTCTCAGCTGGGCTCGGGGGCACCGCGCGGCATAGGGGGGTCCAGGGCAAGGCAGTGGGGACCTGTCCAGCTCCTCGCTGGGACATCCCACCGGCACACAATGGCAGAGACGACTCACAGCTTGGGCAGCGTGGGGTCTTTGAAGAGGGGTGGGTGGTACCCGGGTAGGAAGAGGCCCTTGTAGTTGAGCTTTTCTATCAAGGTGTGAGTGGTGTCACCGTACTGTGAGAGGGAGGAAAGCGGTTGCATGGTGGCCCTGTTTTTTTGGGGGACCTCCTGGGTCCAGCCTGCTCCCACGGACCCCGCTCCAGCATGAGGGCTCCGCCTCCACAGCTGCCCTGCACTTACCGTCTGGATCACCGCGAACTTCACCTTCCCGAATTTGTCCTCCTCCACCCAGGGCTCCTTCACCACCACGGCTCCGCGCTCCTTGGCTTTCTGGGCAGAAGGAGAGAGACCCCCCCACTCCTGCTGCAGCTCCCCTGGGCTGGGGGAGATGTCCCCAGGCCCCTCCCCACCTCCCCTCACCGCTTCGGGGTACCGTGCGGGACGGGGCAGAGGAGCTGCCTACCTGCACGATGAAGTCACAGTCCTCCACTTCGAAGGCGACGTCCTTCACCCCGTCACCGTGCTTCACCAGGTGCTCCCCCATCTCTGCCCGGAGCAAGAACAGCCACAGGCATGAGCAGAGGTGCTTTGCTCCACCGCAACCATTTCCCGCTTTGTCCCCAGCCCTGCGGCACTTACCCTCATTCCCTGGGTTGAGAGCGGACGAGAGAACAAACACAATCTGGTGAGGAAGAAGAGGCGAGGTGAGGGATGGAGACGTGGGGGTGCTGCTGCGGCCCCAGCCTGGGGCAGAGGCACCGCAGACGGGGTGTAACGGCACAAACGGGTTTCAGCAGCACCCATGTGCCTGACGCTGGCTCGTCTTCCCCCAGAATCCACCCTGGCAGCGGTACCTCCGCAAGGTGCGTCAGTCCCCTTACCTTGTCCTGCTTGATGACGTGTGACACCACCTCCCTGCTGCCGGTCTCCAGCCCCCGGTAGGCCAGCTCCTCGAAGCCCAGCTTGTTGCAGTAGTAGGACGCAGCCTGCGGGCAGGCGAGAGCCGTCCCGGGTGAAACCACGGTGCCGGTGTCCCCCGGTTCCCACGGGGCTCCCCACAGCCAGAGCAGCACCAACACCCCGTGGGGAACGGCCGCCGCAGCGTGTGCGGGTCACACGTGTGTGTGTGTAGGGAGCAGCTGAGCTCTTCTGCTTCCCTCCAGCCAGGGAGGAGCAAGCAGAGGTGTGAAAGGGCCCATATTGGGGAAAAAAAACCCCAAACTCTGTGGGCAGCGCTGCCTGCAGAGCCCCCCCAGACCCAACGTGGCCATCAGCAGGCAGGGAGCCACTGCTGAGGGGGAAACATTTCTGCCTGTCCCCTGTTCACCCACGACGTTGTGCCAAAAGCAGCTCAGGGTTGAAGCAGGGGGAATTTTAACTCGCCAGCAGCCCTTTAGCAGAACGATGGCCAACCACGACCACGACGCCGTGTCGCTGCAGGCTGGTGGCCGCAGCTCAGGCCGTGCCACGTGTGCTGGTTTGTGTTTTCCGGGCCCCTCCCGCACCACCCCCCACCCCGGGCA